CAGATACATGAGTTCTCTCTCATTCTTTCCAGTCTTGTGAGAATACATCAAGGGACAAACCCTGAGGTAATAAAATTGTCCTTTTAAGCTTAAATGGTAAATTGAAGTTCCTGTAATTGTAGTGCAGTATTTGGAGCTGTAGACATTGTCTGTTTGTGGTTGTACCAAAGTGCTGTCCAGCCAACTTCTGTGTTTCCAAGGTAATCAAGAGATTGGTTATAAATGTAAGGCAAGGATATAGATAATAGGTAATTGAGGCTGTAAAGATGTTCTGTGAAATAATCAGGAAAAGACACAATTTGAGAAGGAGATTGCAGCTTGACTGTTCTGCCCTGTGTGAGACAATGGCAGTGGGAATGTCTGTGTTTTACCTTACTCCCAACACATTACAGCTCATGGCTCTGAGTGCTCCCAGTGCCAATATCTGGTCCACTGAACTCGGGCATTTCTGTGGAATGAACCATTTCTAGTTTTGTCATAAAGCTTTCAAACAGCAGTTCTTGCAGCCCTCCTTCATCATGCCTTCTGCTCTCACCTGTACCTGAGGATGAAGTCAGTGAACCCTGTGTGGGATACCCCTTTATTTTTTACATGCTCTTCTCTGCTAGCAGTCAAAACAGAAGCAAAAGGAAAGAAGAAGAAAAGTGGAGAAAAACAGAGGTTAATGCTGTGAAGTCTGTGGGTGCAAACAGGATTTTGTTAAAAATGAAAAGAGATTGGGTGGAGGTAGATTAAAAGAAATCTGAAATTCTGTAGAATATGGCCTTTCCATATAGGCAGAAATCTTTCTCTTCACTTCTGTCAGAAGACAGTCAAATAGAGAATCTAGTCTCTTAATTAGAAAGAAAAATACTCATCAAACACATCTCATCACTAAAAAGCTAATGATCCACAGCTGCTAGTCTGAAAGGGCAGGCTTTTCTTCTGAACAGTAGGAAGTGTTAATCATTTTGGATGAGATTTCTTTTTAAAATATACTGTAGTTTGCAAAAGAATAGGTTATTCAATATCCTAACTTAAATTATTTTCTGAAGTGTTGTACACTAGGGATGGTGTCATGTGTCTCTCTGAACAATCATTTAATGCATGTGTCTCTCACTAAGAGTATAAACGGATATGATGTTGTAAATGGCCAGCACATGCCAGTGATTCTGAAAACTTTGATCTCATGGGAGAGATGAAAAAAACCCTTCCTTATGTTCTTCTGTATAGAAAATGGCAGTTGAATTAAACTGTAACCTTTGAGACTCACACTCATCTCATAAAAAGCTTGTTTCACTAGTGATGAACATCCTTTTTTTACACAGACAGCCATTATTTTCTTGGAAGATATCATGCCTGATACAGTCCACTAGATGCTTTACAGATATGGGCAACTCCCAGAAGTGTTCTTTTATACTTATTTGTTAGCTTTTCTGGTTTGGTTTGGGTTTGGGACTTTTTGGCCTATACTTGCTTAATGAAATGTTGGTTTACGTCTCCACCTTTCATGAAGGTTTGTATGTATCACTTACTTCTTTTTCACCTCAACTATCAGGGCTTTTATCCATAAGAACTGAGTCCTGGAGTTTTCTTGCTGTTCTGCATCAGACTTCGGGTTTGCTCATGTTTACTTAAAAGTTCTGTCTGATAGGAAATCTGCTTGTTTTCTCTCATACACATTTCATGAGTGCATTTCTTATCTGGGAAGAATAATGAGGCCATTTAGGTCAGAGGGCCATAACTGTGGTGCTCTACCCAGCACACATCTCATTTGTGTTGCAGTGTTTGTGTAATGCCTGGCTGAGACAGTTGCCTTAAAGGAGGAACTGGTTAAAATTCAGCCAGACTAGATGGAAATTAAGGTGGCAGGTCAGCAAAATCATCTTCAGGAGATGACAGGCGTAATATCCACACTTTTGAATGGCATGTCCATACAACTTGAAAAAAGGTAATATCTTAATATGTTTTACTGGCCCTCTGAGTCCAATACTGTAAAGAACTAATGCCCTTGAAGGTCATTTGGCCTTTAGACACTTTAAGTAAGAAGCGTTTGCATGAGAATGCATCAATATTCTGGAGTACAGAGTATGTGATGACCATGTTCCTCAGACTCTAGTCAGGTCCATATCTCCTGAGACTGTGTGTAGATTGTTGGCTTTTTTCCTCTAGGCCTGGAGAGCATTTAAATAGTACTTGGTTTTCTTAACCACTTTTTAGCCAAAGTTCAGCTAAGGCCCTAAGAAAAACAGTATGTGTTGCCTTTTCTCAACAAGTAATCTCTAATATTTACTTTTCTGATATTTGGTGATGTTTGCTGACCTCCAGAGCACCCTTCCAGAGTATCCATTGACTCAGGGTATTTCTTTGGTTAAAGCTGCAAGGATATTTTGGTTTTCTTCTGAGAGACAAAATTTGCTATAAGTTGGTTATATCTAATTTACCACTGTCTTATAGACAGCAAGATCACAGAACAATTTTTGAATGCGATGAGATGTTGTTTGCTTCTGTTGTGGTTTTAAGCCTAGCTGGAGATGAAACACCACACAGCCACTTGCTCAAACCCCTTCTCTCTTCACCGACATTCTGGTGGAATGAGGAGGAGAATTGAAGTAAAGTTTCTATGTTGACATAAGAAGAATTTAATAATTGAAAGTAACGTGAAATGCCATAATAATGGTACATAAAAATAATAATAAAAAGGAAAAGAAACCCTAACAAAACAATGCAATGCAATTTCTCACCGCCTACTGACCCTTGCCAGGTTCCTCTTCCTGAACCCAGATCACCCACCCTTCTGGGTAAATCTTCCCAGTTTATATCCTGGGCATGACACTCTGGTTTGGAAATATCCCTTTGGTCTGTTCAAGTCATCTGTGCTGCCTTCCAGTTTATTTTGAATACATTCCAATGTCAGAGCATGAGGCAATTTGAAAAAGGTCCTTGACTTTGGATAAACACAACTTAGCAAAAAACCAAAACATCAGTGTGTAATCAGCACCATTTGCATTCTGAGTGCAAAACAGCTACTAGGCACAAATTAACACTACCCTAGCTGAAAGCAGCACAGCTTCTTATGCATTACCACATCTAACAGATTTCCTTTTAAACTAAACAACCTTTGAAAAGCATTTTTATTTCAAATAAAAAACTTCTAGAAGTGCCAATATCCTTGCTTTTGTCTGACACACACTGCTTTTTCAGTTCTTTCAGTAATTATCATATTCGTCTTGAGGTTTCATAGACTTGCATATATATAGTAAAGAGTGTAGAAAGCACAGGAGTGAGGTAAGTTAGCTGATCTTGAGAGAGATCACAAGATGTTGATTTATTTTTTGCTTTCTACATGCTTGTATTTGATAAGAGCATTTTGTTTTAAGTCCAAACAAAAATCTAGCAGAAGACTATGAAAATCTTCATTTTATTCTTACATCTTTATATACATCTTTGATGACTAATTTTGGAGAATGAGCTCTGTTTTGGTTTACCTAGATATTGGCATTGCTTTAAGTTTGCGAATTTTGTAGCACACCACCTTCAGTCCTCTTAGAAGGTATTAAAAGTAGAAATATCCAAAAGCTTAACTATTTGAATGTAAAGGCATTTCAAGATTTTTGGATGTTTATCCAGCTGTGGTACTTGGTATGATTTGCTTTCACTTGTTTTGTTACTGTTGTGCTTCACTGTTTTGTTGTTTATTGAAGAAAACAAAACTAGGTTGTGGCTACAACTGGCTTAAATGAAAGGGGGGGTACATTGAGAGGGACAATTGGATGTAAAAATGGTTTGAATCCATCTGAGTCCAATTATTTTTAGCTCTTTCCTGTAAACTATTCATTTTGTAGCAGCATCAGTAGGGAACAGACAGTGGTGTATGGAGCTGGAAGTGGGGACAGGTTTCTCTGGTGAGGAGATCACAAAGTTGATCCCATGCTGAAGAGCAGCCCCAGTTATTTAGGCACACATTTCTAGGTGTAACCAAACCAGGCATCTCGTAGCCCCTGGTCACAGAGCACTTGAGCTGTTTTGAGCCAACACTGCAATTAATCAAAGTTTTCAAAGTGGCGGACTTAGGTGGCTTCTCAGCATTATTTTACACTCATTTTTGATAAGTCTGTGGTCAGTTCTATTTTACTGTACTTTCATTAAAATAATAATATTATTTTAGCTTTTACTGTGATTTTTTTGCTAGTTTTCCATGCAAAAGGCTTTTGATTGCTACTTCTGCATGTTTGTATGTCACTACGAAATGTCCATGTTCTTTTTTCTAAATTAATCTTTAATGAACTCTTTTGCTACCTTTACACTGCTACAGGGTTGTTTCAAAGCTAAAACCAGATTCAGTAACATGCTGAGGTCTTCTTTAAATTAATCACATCCCTGTGACCTACAAGAATAATGGAGAGGGATTTTTTTACAAGGGTAGTAATACAACAAGGGGCAATGGCTTTAAACTGAAAGAGGAGAGGTTTAAATTAGATATTAGGAAGAAATTCCTTATTGTTGAGGGTGGTGACAGTGGAACAGGTTACCCAGAGAAGTTGTGAATGCCCTATCCCTGGAAGTGTGCAAGGCCAGGTTGGACGAGCCTCTGAGCAGTCTGGTGTAGTGAAAGATGTCCCTGCCTGTGCCGAGGGAGATGGATCTAGGTGGCCTTTTAAGTCCCTTCCAACCCAAGTGGTTCCATGATTCTATGACTCATGAAAGCAGAAAAAAGCATTGTGTATGAGCATTGTTTAAAATGTTTTATGAGCATTGTTTAAAAATTGTTTAAAAGTATTATTTTCCTCTTAGATGATAGCACATCAATTTTTATTTTCCAAGAATTAAGGTAGGAGGGATCAGGAAGTGTAGCAGTTGTATTGTGCAGGTAAGTGTGAGTCAGCAAAGTGGTTGAACAATCCTCCTGTCTGAGGAGAGGTGGATTTCTTTAGAATTGTTTTGATTTATTGGTCTTAAGTCTGCATAAGAGTTCAATGTAATGCTGATTTCAATCACTTTTGTCCCGTTCTGTCTTCTAGCTTTTTCTTTTTGTGGTCTGGAACTTTGAGCTCTACATGATACCACTGGCTTTGTTGTTGCTGCTGGCATGGAACTACTTCTTGATCATATCAGGAAAAGATAACAGGCAACATGATACAGTAAGTCTTCTCTACTTCAAGGGCATGCATGTCTTTTTATTTAACTAGGTAAATTTTTTAAACTGGGCTTAAATACGACATCTTTTTCAAAATGCCTCCTTTCACGATGTTCGATGGACAATTTTCCCACCTGCAATTTAATTTTATTCTGGCTGTCCAATGAGTGCATCTGTTTTTGTTTAAATGTCATGTAAAAGTATAATAGAATGTGTACTATCTATAGAATCTGTTTTGTGTGGGAGCAGAGAGGCTTATTGTTGAGGAAAAGGCAAATTCTTTGAAAATTATTTTATATGGCTAAATCCTGATGTTGCATTTTTTATTTCACATGTTGAAGTTAAAAATTAAATTTTTTCCAGTTTGTTAATAGTTTCAGAATGTATCACATTTCACTGTATTTCACAATTCATCATCAATATTCACTGAGCTCAATATTAGCCTTTTCTTACTTTCTTCTCATTTAATGCCATAATTTAATTAAATATATGTAGTTGGGATATAATACAGCAAGTATTTACTAATAACTGGCATGTATTCATAATATTAAAATTATTTCAGTTTTCAGAAGTACATATTAAAAGTTGAAGTTGTATCCTATGCTGTGCAAATTTTCTAGCATCCAGACAGATGAAGGATTTTGCATGAAGTACTGCTGAGCCTTATGGATTCCACATTAGTAGTACTTTTTGTATCCCAAAAGCAGCATGTTGTCTACTACTTTATGATCTGAATGGGCAGGGGAAAAAGCCAAAATAGATTAGATAATTGGTCTCTGAGGACAGTGGTTAATGGAGGTCAGTAACAAATGGACTACCACAGAGCAAGGTCCTGTTTAACGTCTCTTCTGGTGATGTACATCATCCAGGAGATGATAGTGCACTCCCACAAAGTTTTTGGGTTACATCAGGTGTGTGGGACCATTTGACACTCTGGATCTGCCACTCAAAGGGATCTAAGTGAGTTGGATAAATAACCTGATAGGAACCCCATGAAATTCAGAAGGAAGAATCCTACTCTTGGGGAGAAAAAACCTGTTGTGGTGATACATAGTGGAAACTGGTTGTCTGAAAGCAGCTGTCTGAACTGGGCCTAAGGGTCTTACAAGACAGTGAGGTAATCAGAAGCATGGTAGTGGACTGAGGGCAGTGGTTGTCTCCATTCCTCAGCACTTGCCAGAATGCATCTAGAATTTGGGGCATGCCAGTTCAAGAAAGTCATTGATTAACTTCAGCAAGTTCAGTGAAGGGCTACCAACATGATCAGGGGCTTAAGACCTCATCAACCAGCCCTTGAAGAGAAGCTGAAGGAAGTGGACTTGAAAGATCCTGGAGAACAGAAGGCTTCTAGTGACTGGAACACCCTATAAGGAGGTTAACAAGAAGATGGAGCTAGACTGCACAAGTGGTCGAAGAGGCAACAAGCTTCATTTGAAACAAAAGAGGTTCGGACTGAAAAACTTTTTTTGCCATGAGAATTGTTAAGCAGTAGAAGAGGTTGCTCAGGAAACTGCAGTTGCTGTAGGAAGTTTCCAGTACCTGAGTAAAGCTCTGAGGAACCTGACCTCATGGTTGACCCACAGCTTTGAGCAGGAGTTTGGAAATCCCTTCCAGTCTGAGTGATCTCCTAAAGTCAAGCAACTGCAATTATTAGAACCCACACATCCCCGATCCCAACACTGTTGTTACCTGTCTACATCACTAGGACTGTTATGTTTCCAAGGATCATATGAAAGTAAGGGTGGGAATGATAAAGGCATTCCCTAATCCTAAATGCGATTGCATTTATGGAAAAAGCCTAAGATCAAGATTTAAAAGATGCAATACTTAAAACACAGCCCATTGTCTCCTGATGGCTGAAATGCTTAAAGCTTCTCAACCTGAAGATTTTATGAGTACCTGAAATCCCTGGTGAAAGGAGAAGTTTCACTTGTGAGCTGCAATACATTTAATTTCTCTCTGAAATACCACCTGCTTGGGAAGATTATCTGGTCATGTAACTTTTCTAACAAACTATTGAAGCTAGTGATGGACTCTCAGTTAAGAATATCAAATGCTGCTTCTAGAACTTTCCTCTTGCCGAGAGTGCTTCAGACCAAGCCAATATCAAGCAGCCATGTTGATCCCAAATATTTGGTATCTGTGCCATTAATGACATTGCTTTAATGCTTTTAGTTTGGTTATCATCATCTTGAGCATCTGCCTTGAGTGAAGTCATTTGCAGATTTATTGTAAGCCTTTCTAATTAACTCACAAGTCTTCAGTAATAGTACTTAGCTCAGGACATTAGCACAGTATCATTAGGAGTCATTTAAATACTTACATTTTCCTATGCAGAGTATAATTTTTTTCTGAATTAATTAAACAGTGCTTCAGAGTAGCTAGAGAATGCTTCAGCATTCATGTGATCTGGCTTCTCTTCCCAAGTCTTCAGAGATTCCTTGTGTGTCTCAGTGAAATCATTGACTACTTATCTTAGAAATATCATCTAACTTTAGAAGTTACATTGAAATCCTAAGGCTAATGATAAGACACAAAGATAAATATATTTGTGAACTTTTCTTACCTGATTAACCTTACTCAAGAATAAGTAAAAATTGTATATGGTGTGTACTTGTTTAATGTCTATGGAACATATTTAAATTTGGGACCATGCAAAGCAGCTCAAGAGTTGGTTTCCATTGTAATATCTCTTTGAGAAAACACTTGTCAATTGCCTCATCAGTCCAGGTGCTAGGGACCACACTTCTTCTACAGGTCAATGATTAGTGATCACTGAGGGGGGCAGACAGACCAGCCTTAACTCATCCTTGTTTGACTGTCTCTCTAGATAAGATAGCATTTGCTTTTTCCTCTTGGGCATCAGGGGATTTTTGAAGTAGTTTGAAACTTATTTGTTCATGGAGAAATTCACCTGTACCGCGATTACAACATGAAGTTGTGCTTCTTGTTTGAATGCAAGTATATTTATTTTGCCATTTATTCCAACTCCTAATGAGTTATATATGCGAGTCCTTTCTTGAATATGGTTGAGGCAAGGGGGAAGCCCAAGCGTATTTCCTACTAGGAGATAAGTTTATTGGAATGCCCAACAGAGGTGAAGCAGTATACTATGTCTCCATGGATCCAGTTGGACTCGTAGAATCATTGTGGTTCAGTCCAACACTGATGCAAATTTCCAAAAGAAGCATTGGATTGCCTATCTTTTGTACATTTTGATCAAGATTAGTTGTATTTCTGAAAGATACATTCTCATTAAATAAGAACTCTTGCATTAAACATTGATGTGACTGTAGATAGATGTAGATTTAGTGGATAGTTCTGAACTAAACTAAAACAAATAAATTTCTGTAATGTGGCAGGTGTAAAAATCACATATATGTATTTCTTTCAAGTATTAAATGAGGAAAAAATTACTAAGATTGCATTCTTAATGCCTTCTTCTGGATTTTGCAGTTACATTTTTGCCTGAAGTATACCCTGCTGCTTTCTCCGAAGATATTTACACTTCTTTATAATCGTACTCCTAAGTATCTGACCTCACAAAATAATTCATTTTTTAGCACGGCTGCTGTGGTTATATTATACCATAATCACCTAAATAAACAAGATTAGAACTAAGTGAATCTTACTAGGCTGAATTTTTTTTTCTTCTCTTTTTTTCATCATGTTTTTCACATCCTCTGTGGGAGAGGTATCAACAATTGCTGTGTTTTTGCCACCACTCCCTGCTGCTCCTTGTCACCTGTACTGGATCTGTGTGGTGGGGAGTAGCATGAAGTGCTACACATAATAAAGCATGGCATGGTGTCGGACAGCAAACTAACTAGAAAGTATGGTGGGTTTTAATAGCTTATTTTCAGTATTTTTCAGAAGCTGCTTAATACTTAGATGATTTCAAACATACCAAAAAAAGCCCCTCACCTTTGTAGCTAGCTGTAGGAGAAAACAGCAGTGCTCCTGTCTGGTGTCTGGGGTCTTCATCTATTTCTAATCAAAAGTCACAGTCATTATAACTGCTTGGAGTTAATGGGGGAAAAATTTGTTGATTTTGGTTTTGGTTTTTTATTACTTGTGCATTTTTACTTTAAGCCATGTTTTGAATGTTCTGTCTGCCTGCTAGAGCTGCCTAACTTAAGGAATGGTCAGCTAATCTCTCTGAGTGATTTAAAATGTTCCCACTATCCAGCTGGTCTTGTTCCTTTCCCTGGGATGAAACAGTTGACTGTATGGTTGGAGTGTGTCATGTGGAGAATTAAATAGGTTGAATAGATACGAATCATTATTTTAACCCTGTGTACATAAGCCTGGCTACCACAATTAGGATAAACTATGACTGTTGCATCTCCCTAGATGCATTGGAAATGGTAGATTCCGTGACCCCTGCAATGTCCTGTGGTCTGGTCCCTCTCCCCTCCTGGCCATACCTAGCTGGCCGAGATCCAATTTCTTCCCACCCCCCTTTCAGACCCTAGAAAAGACCTGTGCCCCCTGACCTCGCCCTCTTTCCCTCGCTCTTTCACCCTCTCTTTCTCTCTTTCTCCCTCTCTTTCTCCCTCTTTCCCTCTCTTTCCCTTTTTCTCTCCTTTCGCTCCTGGGGAACCACAAGAAATAAACCCCTGCAACCTCGCCAGGGGGAAAGAACCTCTTTTGTTATCTTTTATTCACGTTCATGTGGCGGATCTGGGAGTCTTCACCCTAACATCTGAGCTAGTCCGGAGGAAAGGGTAAAGACTCAAAGGGTCAAAGCCACATATGACAGTCTCTCTCTGTTGGTCTATAATGCTTAACTGCTGTAACAAGCACATTGGATCTCCTCTGGTGATAAGTTCAAGTTCTTGTTCTACCATGACCAAATAGGTAGCAGACAGGGAGAGCAAGTCATTTCCTCCTCCATCCTGTCTGTGGACGACTGGACAGATCTGGAAGGACAATAAACAGTTGCAAAGCTCTTACTGACAGCAGGGACTTGGTTTTTACAATTGGGGGATACTTTTTGAGGAT